TGACGTTTAAACTGGAATTATAAGTCTGATATAAGTGTTAGGAATTAGTGAAGGGGTTAGCGCTATCGTCTTGGGAATTTGGTAAGGAATAAAGATATAGAGTTATGGGTTTACATTTATGGAATAAAGCCCAATGATTAGGGTGAGGACATGCAGTTGAGCCTGAGGCTTAAAACCCAAGCCCGCTGAATAACGTTTAAAAGATAGGGATAGGGTGATGGTAGAGGGTTAGCGTTAAGGGTTGGCTTTTAGCTTAGGGTCCTCGTTCCGTTCACCGTCTATGTACATATCACTTTTTGATCTGCGCGTTCTTTTTCTTAGGTACTTTAGGAATTCTGCTGGGTAATATTGCTATTTTTACTACTCCTTTCGCAGACTCCTTGGTCTGCAATTATCTTTTTCCACCGGTGAAATCCCTGCTTTCGACCAATCCCCTATTCAAGAGGACCCCGATTTAGATTTGCTCAGTGGACTTACATCTCTGAAGATGGACTCCTGTAAGAGTTCGAAAGCTCAGAACAATGAATAAATTGATCCGGTGCTCGATACGTCTTCTTCCTCGTCCACGAAGAAGATTGTGTTGTGTTCGCTGAATTGTACGTCAGTATGCGTTGAGGACTGCAAGTGCCTCACCGGAACAAAAATGGATGACTACTGGTATTTTGGAAAGCTTGGATGGCACTCAAAGTGTCTACTGCCACTATAAGTCAGGCATTTGAATGGCTGGCTGAATTCACCGGTCTCCAACTGATCGATTGTTTATTGGTTAACAGCTGCGGTCTTCATACTGACGTTTTTTGTAGCTTGACAGCCGCTTGTGTTGTGCTCCTTCACCTCGGTGGAGGGTGCTGGCAAGCCTGCTGCTTCTTCCGATGGGTTCGTCGCCGGGTCGTCTTCGCTATTCAAGCAGGAAGACAGAGTACTATGATTTTCGATAACTAAATACCTGCCAGACAGTGGTTACTCTTCCGACCTCAAAACAGCTTTTCGAGTACCTATTCAGGAACAAATCGGAACCTGCGCTACTGGGAAGCGGCCTTCATTTGGCAAGAGAAACCCAGCCTGCGCAGACAGCTAGACCACGTGATCAATCTCCAAGTGCCCTGGCAATTGGGCAGCTAGTTTTAATCACGACTTGTTTTGCGCCAACCTCCTCTCCCCCTTTTCTTACTTTAGGCTTATTAAGTGTAGTAGCTTTTAGCTAATCCTTATTTACACTGAACTATGACTCTTGCTGTTATAAATTTACATTGTGTTAAATTCAACCGGCTGTACGCATCTAGCCGTTATCTGCATCGTGCACCGACGGGATGCAGTTTAAAAACCGCCGCGAAACCTATTAAATTCAATAAATCCTGATGTCTACGCATGTTTTACTGTCTGTAAAATATCACTTATAAATTAATACGTATTTATGATTGATTTAACTTCCCTTCTATATCCATATATATTTTACAGAAAAACAGGTCAATAATAGGTCTTCGTGTACGCAGCTTGTAGCAGCTTCTATTTTTTCCATTTTGCACTTTGAGAAGGATTATCTCTTGATTTTACAAGGTTTTCGAAATTCCTGAATAATCTTAGAGCTAACCTGCTGTTATTCTTATATTTACTGTTTAGCAACTACAAGCTGCTTAAAATCCATGTGGAAAATCTTATATGTAGAAACGCCATTATGAAGAAGCAATATGGGTCATATAAAAGTAGGCAGTGAATATGGACCAGATAGTATACTTTGTAAATAGTATGAATAAATGGTAACATAAGATGCTTTATGCATGGAGCTTTCACGCTCTTGCAGATTCTCACATCAAGAAATTATTAAAACAAAAATATGCAATTTATCGAAGTACACAATGTGGCGAAAATAACATTTGCAACCAAATGAGTACAAGAAAGGCTGATTTTATGCACAACGGGATGTTCTAATGAGAGGTAGCTGAAAAAAAGTTTATTTAAACACTGGCATTTTCACTGAACTGCCATATATTGGGATTATTATTTGCGATAATAAATATGAAAAATCTACTTCGGTAACTGTTTTCTCATTGATAACCTATTGCGTATTGTAAGACAACACCTTGTGTGATAGCACATCAATTTTGCGCGAATACCAGCAAAGGCTCCTCGATTTCAACGCTAAGGCAGAAGGACGAAGGAAAGTATTCAGTCCTGCAACAATAGCGAACAGATAAACGCCACTTTCGTATGTACCTGTCACCGGCCCAATGGTCACTATAAAGAAGTTTATGTAGAATTACCAGCATTGCACTTCAATTCATTTTATCCTAAAGTTGAGGGTCCATACGATAGTCATGTGACAACTAGACAGCCGTAGTTTTAATAACAACAAACAATGTCCAATGAATCGGGGTTTTCAGTCTAATTTTTGTCAAATGATAGAGACACCCGACCTAGTTGTTGGCGAACCGGAGATATGAACAGTTATCAGCTGATCAGCACCGTATGAGACAGTGAACACCACGCCTTGTCAGCAGTCGGCTGACTCTACCTTGAACGACAGATGCATCCGTAACCACAGTTAGCACACCACTGTTGGATGCCGACTAATAGGCCTCTAGTGCTCACTGAAATGTCGTCCTTCTTCTTTGTAAGTCTTATTGGCTCTTACTTTTCCTATCTGCAACACACGGAGCGCAAAAGAGTAGATACCTGAAATGTCGACCATAATTCCGAAATGTGCTTTCGTTTGAAAAACTTACTCAAGTAGGATTGTAGTATTGAGTAGTGTGCAGTCTAATCTCGAGATATCTCAATCACGTCAGAAGATCGGCCTTTAGATAAGCTGCTTTCTGACTACCTGCCAAAAGCATGACTCCTTAAGTAGCATGCATTTTTTTCATTGAATTTTGATGCCATTATCAATTCAGATATGTGTTGTGGACAATATGAACCAAATCATGCCATAGGCAGTTGCGTCTTCTTTAAATGCCACGCTTTAAAAAAGGATATCTTTAGCTTTTAGACTGTTTCTATTTACGAGCTTTTCTTACGACCGTGAAAAGTTCCCTCATAATACATCGCATCCGTAAATGCAATAATGTTGCCTATAAGACCCGCATCTACTGAAAACTTTCTAAAGACCCTGCGACCTCGCTTTTTATACCGTAGAGAGATGTGCTATTCTTTTTTAGGCATTATTTAGTTTAAAAACCTCGAATTTAAATGTAACGGCCGATAGTGGGATCAAAGTCTGTTCATCTGCATCTAAGTTTACACGCTCCAATGTGATTTCACAACAGTGCCTATTTCCTGATATATTGCTTTCGTTGTTGCTTATCCCTCACCACAGGCTTCTATATTTAGCGTGAGTGAGGAATATAAGTGTAAGTAAGAAAGTTATTTTCGGCAACAGTGATTTAAGTAGTACACTTAATATACCGTACTCCCAGTATTTTGTCCTACGGAAACGGGGGTATAGGGGGTTTATGGGAGGGGAGTAAAGACAGGCAAGACAGTGAAATACACTCTTACGACTGCTATATGCTTTCTTATTTTATTAACTTTAGAAATGTTGTTGATTTATATCTGGAGATTTTCCTAATCTGTATTATTGTTTAACGTATTGCGTATAAACCGGATTATCAAAATGCAGGTTACTTGACATTTCTAAAAAAGAAATGGTGGTTAGGAGGTAATCCACTTCAACTTACCTGAGGTCCAACTTATCATTTTGGAGTTATATCAGTATAGTCCGCGGCGCCAAGCACCGCGCACACCTCCAATTTACATGCGGAACAACTTGCTCCCAGCGACCGCGGGAAACAAATTCAAGTACATTTTCCACTTAAAATTGTTTTCTAGAAAAGTTCCTCACTGCCTATCCTATTTCTTCACACCCCAAAACCCCTATAAACACCGTTTGTGTAGGAAAGGAATTCTAGGACTATGGGTATATGATGTGCATTACTTAAACTATCTTTGCCTTATTTAAACACAAGTTGATAATTATCCTCAAAGAAACAGGTCTGAGGCGTTGGTTTGAATCCAGGAAATCCGAAAAAAATGTTATGACAATCGACCACTTGACCTCCTTGGTTGCTATTTTACTTATCCTGGTAGTGGCTCAAAGCTTTTACTTCGCACCTGGTCAGCTAGGTTTGTAAATATCGAAGTAATCATATAAAATTGACCGCCTGTTGGAAACTTCTCAGTATTACGCGATTATTGCGCAGTAGTTTATGGATGTTAACTCAAATATTTGGCAAGCACACAATATGCGTCCATTCGGCGTTTAATATGCAACCATGTGACACGCCAACCTAACCCTAACAGTAGCCAAGGTGTTTGTTAGATTTCGATTTTGTTAGTGGATTATTAAGGTCATACAATAGTTTGCTGGCTGTAGAAGAACCAATGTGTCGGAACAACTGGCAAATTTGCAAGTGTGAACTAAGAGGACCCCATGGATGTTTCCAGATGCATAAGGTTTACAGTGGTGGTGAAACATTGCGCAGAACCTCCTTCTTGCTCCCGTGGAGTCTGATGTACCCCAAGTTAGCAAAATAATGTTCACATAAATTAAACAAAGCAGTAAGATAAGCTTCAGCGCTTGCACATTCAAGTCTGAGTACGCACGATAAGATATTTTCCGCTTTATCTCTCTACTCTGGTTTAGAAAAAAAACAGCCTGGTGGTGCCTTCTCGCTGGCAGGCACCATCCTCTGCTCTAACCAATAGCCAGCCGAGCAGGGCGCGATGGCTGCGGACGCTGCCCAATCAGCTGCCAACAACTCACCATGTAGTGTGTGCTGCATCCCATGTAGGTGTGTGTGCGCGTGTATGCAACAGCACACCAATTCAATCTGAGTCAGAGCCTCAAATTTGTACTGTTCCTACGCAAAATGTTCACAACGAGACTGACAAGAGCCTACTTCAGTGCACGGCAGCTCCGTTTATTACTGCTGCAACCGCGGGACCAGGTCAACTGATATTCTATTACGACGGCCAGGAACTCGCCCCTAAAATAAGGCGACCTGATGTTACCAAGAAGGGCGCTCAATAGCACCACAGATCATGCAACAGACTATGCGACGCTGACCACAGAGCTTTTAAATGTCACGACAACTACAGTGCAGCCCCTGCTGCAGAACGGTTTCCTCGCATGGGCCAGTCGTCAGTTGAACATCACCAATGCTGGCCTGTTGATTTTCGTGATTATCCTCATATGTATTGCCATTCTTCTGGGCATAATTCTCCTCATTTGCTGTTGCCGTGCTTGCTGCCGTAAGGCCAAAAAGAGGGGACCGCAATACCAACGAATGCCTAGCATCTACAAGGATCAGCTGCCGGGAGCAGACGGCGATCCGCAGGGAGAATCAATAGGGACGCTGGAGTACTCCTTGGAATACAGCATGAAAACAAATACATTGAAAGTTGGCATTATACAGGGGATGGATCTCGTAACGCCACCTGGTTCTGGAACGGTTGATCCTTTTGTAAAGGTTAGGATCAAGGGAATGTCTTCTTTGGAGAAAACAAGAGCCAAGGCCAGGAAGCCGAGAAAGGTTTATACAACAGACATTCAACGGGATACCACCTGCCCCGTTTTCAATTCTGCCTTCACTTTCAACGTGCCCTATGAAGACCTGAAAACCGCCGTTGTGCACTTTGTGGTCTATGACGCCGATGAACCCAATCAGCCTTTGGTAGTCGGAGGATTAGATGTTAAGCTAGAGTCCATACCCTTGGAAAATTATTGTGGGAAGTCCTACGAGACGACGGGATACCTCAAGAAGTCGGTGGACCACTCGGATGATTCCGCTCAGATCTGTACCGTTCTCACACATGATCCAGTGGCAAGCGAACTAAGTGTCAACGTTCTGGAGGCGAAACAGTTGGACCTTCCAGATTACTACAGAAAGAATCCACCTGAAACAATGGTTTCAGTGACTCTTCACATTGGTGATAAGAAGCTGGCCAATAAGAAGACTCAGGTCCGCAGAGGAACTCTGAATCCCTACTTTGGAGAAACGTTGAAATTTCAGGTGGAGAAGCATAAGCTGATAGTGGCCTCGCTTACACTGAAGGTCAAGTACAGGGTTCATGGTGTGCGTTGGAGGAATGCCGGGAAGGTCGTGCTGGGCGCTGATGCTTCGGACTCCTCCGGTCGAAAACAATGGGAAGAAATGTTGGCCAATCCAAGACGTCCCGTAGGCATGTGGCAACCCTTGATCATTCCCGAGGAGTAGCTTTATGACTTCAAATTTCCTGATGAGTTTGCAAAAAGTAACGCTATTCTTCACAAGGTTTGTTTTCACTGATAGTCAAAAACCTTCGTATCTTTATGGAACGGATTCACGCTTGTCAGAAATATCCATCAATACTGTCTTAATAAACCTGTTTTATCGATCTCAATTTTTTTCACACATCCCTTAACATGGCAAAGATTAGTGAGTATTCCACTATCGATTATTTATTTTCAAAAATTGTTCGTCATTTTTGTCAACATTTCCGGTAAATAAGGGCTGGAAAACCCAATAAGGCCGTCGGCTGGGAATTTAAACACGTTTTTCTCCTAGCAATTACAATCTATGCGGGGCTAATAAAAATCCCATAGAATGAGCGGCTATGGCTTCAGTTATTATCACGCCGACATCGTGGATTTGGTAGACGGCGAGTGCGTTCACATGCTCAATGATAGAAACGTCTGTTGAAAACGAAATCACCTATGTTTCTCATGTATTCTGCCCTACGTCCGGGATAACTTTACGACATCTATTCAGTGAACGTTCTCGTGCGAAGTTAATGATTATTTAAAAATGTGTTTTTTGATTAGGAATGATGATTTAAGTGTAACTTTTATATATGTAACCCTGAAGCATGATCTCAAGAATGAAAGTCTTTTCGACCTCCAAAAGAATCTCCACTTGATAAAAAGTTACTATATAAAACGGAAGCATTTTTCTTTAGATTATGGTCCCCTTAAAAATTCAAATATATATTGCAGAAAACATAAACACAAATATCTCTTTTGTTCTCGGTTGATAGGAAATCAAGTCGTCTTTACATGTCGCACTCAAAAAGGCTGTCTTTTGGTTTTAACATATTTATAATTAAGAAATGGTTTAAGACTGTACAATTTATATTTAAATCGCATTTCCTTGTGTGTACTGACCGCGTTTCCCCATGGAGTATATGTTGCAGTCCACGTACATTGCTAACTTGTATGAGCACTCTTTATTATCTTCTTAACGACGTACAAGCATATAGGATTTTTTAGCGGAAGGCTTTAGCTTTAAGATTTTAATTCCTAAATGCAATTGAAGTGGCGGATTAGACGCAAATTGTTCGGGGATTGGAACGCTTTTTTTCAAAACTTTAACGTACGCTGTTTGCTGTCTTACGTTCGGAGATTAAGTACTTTTATGCCAACTGCGTAGCAGAAGAAATGTTCCTATATTTGAAATATTAAGGACACTACTTGATAATCACTTTTATTGAGTGAGGATTCTTCGAAAGATCGATATTATATTTGTTCAAAGGCCTGCTTTTTCGTGTCTTAAATATGCTCCAAGATAATAATCATTATAACTCTACTTCAGTAATCATATTTTAGCTTAAATTTAAGTCTGTGAATGTAACTCGCCTTCAACATAAAAAGCAGCCCTATTAATAGCCTACGTTTTGAAATGGCGTTTTGTAGAGGCCAAAAAACATTATTTGACCACCCTTAAGGGGTTCATGACGCCACTCTGTAACGCATTATTAAAATAAAGTGGTACATTGTGAAACAGCCTTGTATTGGCATCTGTCTAATATCTCTATTTTGTTGGTAGAGTAACCAAACTGTGCAAAGGTTCTTAAAATCTTACACCACAAGTTATAACTTGAAAAAATGCAAAGGCTGGGACTACCGTCGAGTTTTATTTTAGATGATCAACCGCCGGACATACACCAGGCTTTAGTTTATGAGTGAAGCCAAGAAACCTGCATTCAGTGACCCCAAAAATAGAATATCCTCGTCCCAGTTGGTTACTCACATAAGCAGTGAGAAAATCGAAAGAATCTTGTTTACACGCGAGTGTTGGAGTAGGTTAAGACGCGGACGCGACATCTTAGTGGTCACCAATACGAACGTGGCCAAATCAGAAGTCAGGGAAGAAAGGAGGAGTTCGACCAACTTCTACTAAGAGGAGGTGTAACAAGAGAGGCTGTGAACAGAGGCTACAAGCTGTATTTTCGGATATCTGTTGTCACCAGCCCTTTCAGACGTTTTGATTCGCTCGTCTAGACGCGAAGCTCAGGTGGCAACGAACAGTCGATTAAGAGTTCTGGCTGCCGCAGCGCGCTGGTCTCATTCAGACGCTGAGGACTGTCAGGGAGTGTTGATCGTAAAGCAGGAAGTGCTGTGCTAAAAGCCGATGCAGCAAACTGCCAACGCCTAACTTAGTTGTACAGAAAGAACTCAAACTGTTGGCGGAGATTCTTTCGAACAGTCTCGCCTTTTGCAACATACGAGCGTAGTAAAAATTCAGTAGTTCATCCGTCAAGAGAAAGCAGGTTGCAATCCAAAAGCTCACTGTCCACTCATATTTCATCAGTCCTCGATTTTCATGACCCTTCTCTACGTGGTAGTCTTGAGCCGGTGCCCAGATCCGATGTCCAATCCCCTCAGCAACGCCCTCGGACACTTCTGACACGTGCTTGAGGTATGTAGCTACTGTTGCTTGACGTAGTGGATATTTCCTGTATGCCTTTCTTAATTGTCGAACTGCCTTTGACCTCTGACTCGGAGTTAGGAAGCGCCGCATTTTTCTCCTTTCTAGATAGATTATTAATAACACCTGATCAGCCCATGCACGGACAGGCTTGAATCTGGCGGCCCTAGGTGAACAAAAATTAGAGAAGTCAAAGCAAAGAAGGGCGGAGAGACGAAGAATATATTCATTCGAGCCGTCGCCCTCATTCCTAGGCTCGTCGTCACAGATAAAAATAATGCGGCAAGGAAATTTCAAGCTTTAAAACAGTTCTTCCTATGGTTGTTTTCTGATATTTGCTACGATCTAGACGGTAGTAGGATGTCTCCGTGAGCCCACGTCTTGTCGACGGATGCACTCATGGCTAATAAGTACTGTACGGACTTCGGCGAAAGCTCAATGTAAACTAAGTGGACCCCAGGTTATGGTGAATAGACAATGTCGGACTAGTGGTCATTATATGAATTTAGTAGTTGACACATAGACGGTTCCTTGCCACGCCTATGTACTAATTTACCAAACCAGGCCAAGCTATGTATTTAAACCCGGCAGGGCTTGCATAACACACCTCTACGGTGGTTGCAGAAACTTGGAGATTTTTGTCTGATATATTGCCTGCTTCTGAAAAGGCGCATGCTCAATCCAGAACAGGCAGCTGACGTTAGGTACTGCAGATTCTGAACTTTCCACTATCACTAAACTCAAAGTCTGACAAAGCGCAGCCCTCAAAGAAAATATCCCCGGAGTCTATTGTCAAACCAACTTTGTTGACCAACGCGATAAAACTAAAATTTCCATTCGTAACCGTAATGATTAGTTGAAAACATTTCCCCTTGGTTAATAATTATTTCCAGTCGGCAAAATAGTTCGACCGAACCTCACAACGTGTCCAAAAACCCAGTACCTGACCAACGTTGGCTTCATTATCAGTGCTACAGCTTGCATTTTTTGAGATCCGCTGACTGGACCTGGTACTTTAAGCTAAACCCTTGTCGCCAAGCTTGCTTGTTAAAGTCTGACGGATAGGTGGAGAAGGCGGAAAGCGAGTTCTAGGGGCAAACACTGCGAACACACGAGGTCCTTTCTCATCGAAAAACTCGCTTTACTTATTTACAGTTCTGAGCGTTCTGGAACGCTCGAGCCTATTGCGTGCCAGTCATGAAGGTCGATCTAGAATCTTCTGACTTATGATTCGTTGATTGGCTGTTTCATGCGCGAGGCTCCCCTGCGGTGAAACATCGAATTTTCGAGTGGCTTTTGATTGGTCCGCACGCGTGCTCGATGCCACAGTAAATGATGCTTGGCTGCCCGACGTTACGCCCGCATTTGCGACCCTCTTGACCCGCTTGACCGCGCGTTCTGCATAATAAGTTCAGATGACAATCTTTCTGTCAGACAGATAAGCTACTCCAACTTTTGCAATGTCATGCGACGCCCTTCTCCGAAAGGTCTCAACGACGCAGTACCGGGGGCTGAGAGGCCTGTGTCGATTCTCTGATACTCTAGTTTCGTGAGGCGGTTAAAAAGGCATTGATGAATGACCTCATCCTCTGATGACTACAACTGGACCACTTTTCTCAAAAGGTGCTTTTCGTCCCTATTCACAAGCAGTAACAAACGTTCGTGCGCGGGGACGAAGACAATCAAGTCTAGTTTCGAGCATAACATGGATGCTCTAAAACATTACCTAAAACGCTTCATACTTTTTAACTCCGTGCGGCGTCCAGCACCAGCAGCAGTCCACATTTTTGTCCGATTCGCTGTAACTTTCCGTTTCACTCAAACTGGATCACATTAAAAAAGCCGAGGCCTGGAAAAATCGTTGTCCAAGAAGAAGCTCTCAGTTCATGGCTGGTGGGCTCGCATTACCAATTAAGCAGTCACCGTTTAATCAAGCGCTCGATAAGGTTGCTTATCCCGCTTTAAAACTTTGCTGATCTTGCTATCCGAAATAATCTATCTGTCAACTACTAGGAAAAATGTGGTTGCTGATCGAACCGAAAAAGCAAGTTCCAGGAATCAGTTCATAAAGAGAAGATGAGGTGGCTGGGACAAGAAGTTGATTGGCCTGACGTCTTAGATGATCAAATGGCGGCACTTAACCAGTCGGAAGCGGACCCCCAAGACATTTCAGAAGAAGAAAATGTGATCACTGGAACACGAATATAATTTGCCTGACGTTTCGGATTCCCTCGGGAACCCTTAATCATAGGTTATGATAACATAGTCGTGGTCATGCGCAGATGGGGTGGAGACATACACAGGCTGCACGGTATTTATAGTTCTTGGTGGTCATCCACGTGTATGTGATAATTG